ACACTGAATACTCTCCTCTGCAAGGAGGTTTGGCTCTTTGTAAGAGCTGACACTTGCATCCTACTCTGCAAGGAGGTGTGGCTCTTCCTAAGAGCTGTGACACTTGCATCCTGCTCTACAAGGAAGTGTGGCTCTCTGTAACAGCTGTTCCACTTGCATCCTGCTCTGTGAGGAGGTGTGGCTCTTCTTAGAGCTGTAACACTTGTATCCTGCCCTGCAAGGAGGTTAGGCTCTTCCTAAGAGCTGTAACACTTAATACTCTTCCTCTGCAAGGAGGTTTGGCTCTTTGTAAGAGATATAATACCTGTTAAATAAAACCTAACTTCCATTGTGTGGTCATTCATTCATTCATTGAATTGTCAAGACCAAGAGCCTGGAAATCCAATATGAAAATTCTGGTATCAGATTTGGTGAGCCAGCCAGGAGAAAAGACCAAGCCAGGAGAAAAAACCAAGTTCTGAGAAAAATGAGGACAGAAAACATCTGTGGTAAGCAAGGGGAATCCTAACCTCTGTCCTATTTTTCTCTATTATGATTCTACTGGAGGTTATTAAATTCCATCCCCCTCCCAGCCTGTGAATATGCTTAGCGTAGAAGGTGACTTCTAGGTCACAGGCAAGAGGAGCAAACTTCTGATTCTCCTTAGTTTCAGAAAGGTAAAGGGAACCTGATCCTGTCCTCTGTTTATTTCTTTTCCCTGGTTGAGAGCCGAGTAAGGAGGTAGCACCCAGAGGCCCTGGGGTCCCCAGCAATGGTTCTGACCCCAGGATTTGGGAGGGCCTCTGAAAACTTGTGCTCTCCCAGCTCTTACTATATTCTCCTCAATGGTCCCAAATGTTTCCTAGTTATCTGTATAGATTGCTGCTTCTCTCTCACCTTGTAGTTTGCATACTTTGAATGTTGTAAAGAACTACTTTATCTACACAGTTGGGGTTGTTACTGGTTAATTCTGATATTTTTCAGATGTTTTAAGTGTTTCAAATACTGAAAGTATGTTGTAAGATCCTTTTTATTGCCTTGCATTGTAATCTACCTAAATTGGCATATGTGTCTAAGGGAAAAAACTGACCTTGTTAGAAAAAGTCAGCCCTAAACCAAGGCTGAAATGACTCCCCTCACAGTTTGGGCAACCAGAGGCCTGTGAAGGGAAGCCTAGAACGACGACCCAGGATGGGAATGGCCCTGAACTTTGGCTACCATTCATGACTCTGGGTATTTCATTTCTTCTAAGATAATGCTAGGTTTCTCTAGGACTTGGGCTAAGTGCAAGTAATTGTGATGCAAAGTTTCAAAGGGTCTCTCAACTCGGCCCTGATTTGTAACTAAATTTGCTATATTTAACACCAAGCCCTGCTGAGGCACGCGAGGCATATTTCCCTTTTTGTTACGGGGAGTTTAGTAAAAAAGGCTTGCACAGATTCTACAGTGTTAAATGTGTAAACATCACACATCCATTTTCTCTTTGATACTCTGAAGCTAGTAGGGGAAGGGGCAGAA